GCGAAAGTCGATTCAAAGGGTTGATGGGCAAGCCGAGCATTGAAGATTTTGGGAACGGGCCGAAAGAGAAAGCCTCAATGAGTAACTTGGGCAGGCTAAGCGAGGCAGAGCCCTCAAAGACAGGCAGTTCGTGGATGGAAACTCGCACCAACAGACCAATGAGTAACGATACAGATCCGTTCCCCGAAGACGACCATCCGACTGGCAGTGCTGCGTTGCGCGGCGAAGACGTTAGCCCGCCCCGGCCACAAGGCTTCGGCAATTTCGCAACGCCCCACCGCCCCGACCACCGCGACGATTCTGGATTATCCGCATTTGGGATGACTACTGCCGACACTGGACTTCGCGACATGTATAACAGGAACAACTTTACGGATCAGTCACCCCATCGGGGTAACGAGCCAATGAGCCCGACGGACACGAATCCGTACCAAAGCCCACACCACGCACGAGACCAGCATAATGACGATTCGGACGATTCCGGCGACCAGAATGCACACTTCCCTGGCATGAGCAGCTTCCATATCGACCAATCTGTTCACTCGAGCATCCATAACGCGTTCGGCGGTCTTGGGGGTCTCGGAAAGGTGTCTGCGCCATTCGAAACTGCAGCAAGTGACCGCAGCCAGACTTCTAGTGTTGGACCAGCCCGAGGATTCCCTACCCTACCTGGGCTTGGCGGCCTTCCTGGTCTAGGAGGTTCTGCAGCGTGGCCTTCTGGGAATCACACCATGGGCACTCCGACTCGTGAACGCGGTGGTCTGGGAGGCTTTGACCATGCCTTCGGAAACGTTGGCGAGGCTCAATCGCCTTCTCTGGCTGGCCTAGGCAATAGTTCGCTATTTGGACACGGTACTGTAGGCCGCTCTAGCAGGCTTGGCTCCCTGTTTCCGCCTTCCATGCAAGAACAAATGCGATCCAATGATCCGAACAGGGCGCATGCCGACGACAATTCCTCACATGGTGACCGGCAACACAGCATGACCGGCTCGTTTGCAAGGAATGCCTTTGGGGGGCAGGCGCCAGCCCGTGATACAGAAAGCCCGTTCCGCGCAAACCGTAATCTTTTTGAAGACTTCTCCAATGCTCACCATGACGACCACGGTTCGGCGGGACAGTCTCAGAACATGGCTACCACTTCACTCTCAATGGCTGCCCTTAACCCGACAAGGACTGCACAACCATCCACGCCAGGTGTTGGAAGTCCAGCCTCCAGTCAGCCTCCGGTGCCTCAGCAGCGAATGATGGTTATGCCTGACAGGATGAGATGGATTTACCGTGACCCCTCAGGTAATGTTCAAGGACCTTTCTCTGGTCTGGAGATGCACGATTGGTACAAAGCTGGCTTCTTCTCGCCTGAGCTGCTCGTGAAGAAGGCTGAAGAGCCTGATTACGAACCACTCGCCCAGCTCATCCGCCGTATTGGTAACTCTCGTGAGCCCTTTTTGGTCCCTCAGATCGGCATCCCGCATGGCCCTGCGACGTCTCAGCCAGGTAATTCCTGGGCAGGTGCTGGTCCTAGCACTGCCACTGCTCCAGGTGCTCAACCTCCATTCGCCAACAGCTTTCCCAGCTTTGGAACTACCCTTACTGCCGAACAACAGAATGCTCTCGAGCGTAGAAAGCAAGAGGAGCAATACCTCATGGCTCGCCAGAAAGAGCACTTAGCCCAGCAGCAACAGGCACTCGCCCGCCAAGTCCAAATGGGAGTGCTGCCAAACCAGCTCAACCACCACTCCAGCGCGCACAGTCTGCACAGTCAACCAAGTTTCGGCAGTATCACATCGCCAGGCGGATATCAGCCATCGCCTACTCAAGGTGCCGCGGCTGGAGCGTCTGTTCCGGGACTCATGGACAACACCTTCAGAGTTGGTCCCGGTCCTGTTCCTGGCTTGGGTCCGATTGGTCCCGGCATGGATATGCTGAGCAACAGGAGAGACCAGGAGATGCCTGCTATGATGGACCGTCTGAATCTGGGACGTAACAATCAGCCTCCATTCGCTTTTGGACAACAGCAAGATTCCGATGCTCACGCACAATACATGGCCTCCGTGATTGGCGACCGCGCTCGTCTCAAGCGCGAGCAGGCTGAGCATGACGCCACGATTCGCCCTGGTGGCCCTGAAGACATGCAAAACGCGCGGAACTTCGCAGAACGTTTTGCGGAATTTCAAGACTTGCGAGTCCAGACAGACATGGAGCAATCGTCCACTGCCGCCCCTCCACCAGAAGGCGTCATAGGAAAGCCGCCTACTTCAAATGCTCAGCCATCGCAGGAACAATCTGAGCCTGCGTCCCCCGAGGAACACGAAGGAAAGGATCATCAGTCAGAGCATCAGAACGAAGGACCATCTGCTGGTCACGAGACGCTGTCCCTCACTGAACAAGTTCAGAAGGCTGCTTCTGCTAAGCACTCCCCTCAACCAGCAGCTGCATGGAACAAGGTCGAGCCTGCGATCTTTCCGTTCCCACCTCCACCATCCCAGTCTCCACTTCCTGCTCCAGCTGCTCAAAGAAAGCCTATCGTCGCTGAAAACCTCAACACTGAGTCTCGTTCAGGTGCGGCGACTCCTGCCGCTGATACCCCTAGTGTGTCCATTGCTCCTTGGGCCAAAGAGCCAGTCAACGCATCTCACGGACCTTCCTTAAGGGAGATTCAAGAAATGGAGGCCAAGAAAGCTGCAGAGCGTGAGGCAGCTGCAGCTGCAGCTCGTCGGGAAGCGTTCGAGAAGGAGATGCAAGCCCAAAACCAGTCACCTGCAGTTCAGCCTGGCTTGCCTTCGAGCTCCACCTGGGCCAGCGGTGCCTCGCCTGTCACCCCTAGCACGGCCAATGCTTCCGTCTGGATCAAGCCTGCCGCTACTAAAGTCGCCGCACAACCAACACCCAGTTCCAAGAAGACGCTACAGCAGATTCAGAAAGAAGAGGAGGCTCGAAAGCAACGTGCTACTGCACAGGCTGTTGCTGCTGCCAATGCCTTTGGTGCCGCCGCTCCAGCTCCATCGGCTGGCAAGCGATATGCTGACCTGGCTAGCAAGAGTACACCTACGCTAGCTGCTGCTATGCCTGCTGGAAGCACTGCATGGACTACAGTTGGCGCGAGTGGTAAAGTAAAGACGCCAGGTGGCACCACTACTCCTGTACCCGGTGCAGTCCGCTCGACTAGTTCGACTATAGTACCATCGCTGGCCAAGAAGCCTACTGTAACTCGTAGTGCAACAATGGGAGGACAGTCTGGGAAGCTCAACGCCGAAGAAGAGTTTCGAAAGTGGGCTGTTAACGAGCTTCGTCATGATCTCAACAAGGGTATCAATGGTGAGTATTATTTGTTGTGATTCTTTGTACAAAACACTAACTTTCCAACAGCTGAGGACTTTGTCTCCTCCCTTCTTAGCTTCCCGGCAGACGCTGAGCTCATCACTGAGTCCGTGCATTCCGCCTCCAATACTCTCGATTCGCGCCATTTCGCCGAAGAGTTCCTCCGCCGTCGCAAGCTAGCAGACAAGGGCATCATCGACGAACGGAACACTGCATCTCCTGCTGAGAACAAGGCCGCAGGCAGCGGTTGGTCCGAAGTCGCTAAGAAGGGTGGTGCCAGCACTACCCAGACACAACAACAGGCACCTCTCGACTCAAGTAATTTCAAGGTGGTTGCCGCCAAGAAGAAGACCAAGCGGTAGATTCGTTACGATTTGGCAGAGCTCGACAATGACTACACATTTGTCTGAACTTTGCACTTGTGCGCTGTTCGTTATCATTGTGTCTTTTCACACGGTATCGCTTGTGGGTCAGCCTGTGATGGCAAGAGAACTATTCTGTGGCATGAGAATATGAGCATACTTCATGACATCACAGAAGGGTTTTGTATCTTGGTCGGAATATTCGAGTGCGACTACACAGCTAAAAGCGCATACGTGCCCATTAAGAGTACATTGTACCCGCCATGTCAGAACAGAGCAGATAGCGCCTATGTAACTGAAATGAACCCAAAAATCATTGTTGCTAGCTGTTGGACTATTGTTACATGGACCGAATCTAGAGTGAGATATGCTACTATATTGTAACATGCTGGCCATTGTTGCTAGTACGTGTGGAGAAAGACGCTTCAACTATTCAAAATTACGTCTCCTGCCTGCTTTGTCCTTCCAAGCCTAGCTTCTCGTTCGCCTCTCTTTCTTTCTTCACAGACTGATCATCTTTTCTTGGTTGTTTTCCATCGTCTTCTCGTCAGCATGTTAGCTGCACAATCTCAAAAGCGTAGGGTGTATACACTGAAAAACCCTAAACCTCAACCTCGAGTCGATGCGATCAGCCTACCCTCGGACATGTCTCTTCAAACCATCATTGTCAGACCAAGCATCACATGCACGTGCGCAATACAACAAGAGCATGGGGTATAGATGTGCTCTTCGTTCGTCTATCATATATATCTCTGCGTATTCGTTTTTCCACCTTCCATCGAAAATTGATCAAAGAGTGGAGAGGAAAAAGGTTCAGCCGCACACATACCCCTCAGTTTTTATACCCAAGTCTTCTACCCATACACCATTTCGTAGCCCACCAGTGCCCGTCTCACCACGGCTGGCAGGCGGGGGTATCATCGTCCCATCGTATTCAGCTTGCATCCACCCATCACACACTCCCAACACTGAGCACACAACGAAAATTAGACCAAAAAAGACGCATAATCCACAAGAAAAGCAGCAAATTGGTATATATTTCTGTTTGCGCCGTAGTTGGGGAATCATTCGGATAGAGAGCAACAAACAAACGCCGTAAACAAAAAACTGCAAAATGACGCATACAGGAAAACAAGACTGCGAACAACAACCAGCCAGGCCAGGCTTTTGACGTGGGTATTTTCGCCGTAGAGTAGGAGGGGTATAATTCTTTTGTCGTCGCACACGTACAAGAGACAATGAACGCGTAGCGGGGTATTCTTCGTTAAAGGCCGGGTACAGTAGTGGTATCAAATAAATGGTTCGAGATTGGTGTATCACTTAACGAGGAGGCCCAATAGGGGCCGGGTATCCAGATGCAGAATGAGAAGTACTGGGGCGCCCGCTGTCCACGGAGCCCCGCGGGTCGTACCTAGGGGTCACATCCCCAGGCGCCGCGGAAGAGGAACCAAAAGGAAACTTGGACTCAAAACGAGGGGCTGGCATAGGCCAGCCGTTGTTGTGGTGCTCGTCGTCCGCGAGGTTAATGCCGCTGTCATTCCACGGGTTGCGGTAGCTACCGGTGGATTCAAGGCTGGCAAGGGATGCCTTCGAAGCGTTGCTAGACGCATGCTTGAAGAGCGAACCGGGTGAGTTGGTGTTCTTACGTCCGTTGAAGATGGACGTAAAGGACGACATGCTACCTGGTTTGCGAAGGCGGTCGAGCATACCGCGAGGCTCATCGTCACCAAAGTGAGAGCGAGTCGGCGAATCGGTGCTCTCAACAGCCGGCTCCGCACGCTGGAGCAGCTTAGATTCGAAGAAGGGCAAGGAGTCTTCGAATGAGTCAGACTTGGGACGTGGGAGAGCTCCACGGACGGTGTTAGTATCAAGCCCATGCATGACTAGATTGTTGAGAAGAAAGTCGATGGCGTCCTTCAATCCGCCAGCATTGTTTCGGGTGAAGACAATGTGGAAGGCTTCGATCTGCTCTTCTTTGCCATCGGTAGTTTCCGTCTGCGCTTGCTGAAGCTGAGCATCGACCTCGTGCTGGGTCTTGAGCTTGTCGAGAATATCGGCCTTGAATTCGGCAGAGCGGAGGTACTCGCTGAGTTCGGTGGTAGAAGGGAAGGCAAGATCGTGGGATTCCGGAACCATACCCAAAAACTCGTCGACTGCGAATGGCACCTGATATTCAGGACCGGACACCGTAACAATGTCGCTAGCTTCCTCAGTGCTGGGGAAGGTGATTTTGCAGTTGAACTTCTTCTCCAACTCGTCGATCTTGTCCAAACGAGCAATAAGTTCTCGATGGTATAGGCGGTTGATGTTGATAGTCTCAGAGACGAACTCGGCATCAGCCTTTTCAACCATGTCCATGATCTCTTGCTTGACCAAGTCAAGATTCTGAGCATTGCGCGCAGGAGTACGACAGATGACATTATCCACCTTGATGTCGTCCTCCTCTTTACCGAAGCCGCCGCGGTCCATGGCGTTCGAGAACTTCACGAAGACAGAGTACTTCTTCATGATGCGCTGGATGTGCTGACCGCCGATACCGATAATACGCTTATGGTACTGGTCAGGAACATGGAAGGAGATAGAAGCAGGCATCTCCTGTTCGACAAGATCTAGACCGTTTTTTGTGGCCTCGTACTGAGCACCGCGGACTACGATGTAGAAGTTGTACTCGTTGAAGCCATCGAAGACGATCTGAACACTGCTGTGGCTCATGATCTTGTTGATCTTGCCGTTCTTCTTACCACTGACGAATTCCTTGTGCTCGTTTGCGAGCTCGATCTTGACGCTCATGTTGTACTGAGATTTCTTCACGAATGGGATGTTGCTGATGACCATCAGTGCAGCTCTAACAGCATCGTCAGATCCATAGATGTGGAAGTTTAGCTTCTCAAAGCTGACTTCGGCGCCGGAGTTGATGCAGATATCGGAGAGCATAGCACGAACATCGGCGGGTGTAGGTGGTCGCTGCGTAGGGTCGGGATGGGTAATGAACCACGAAGCACTGTAGAATTGGCCGGCCTGATCATGATTAGTACAAATTCGAGTACAGTGCGTGCGACAGACTCACAAGCTGCATCAGTTCGCGCACAGTACGCTCGACATGCAAGACGTCAGTGCCCTGGACACGCACAACACCACGCTGAACGCCAAGAGGGGGCAGTAGGATGTACGAGCCGTTGTTCTCAATAATCTTGCGCACCTTGTCCAGACGCTCCAACAAGATGGCGTCAAGCTTGGTGTCAGTGACCATGACAGGCTTCACAAAGACCTTGGTGGACATGACAAGATCGTGCAGACGTTGCTTGGCGCGCAGTATATTTTCCGAGTTCTCACCCGTAATGTATACTAGGTCATCAGGCCTTCGCTGAGCACCCGGTGGTGTGTAGCCAAACAGGCGAGGGAAGGGTGGGGGAAAGTAGATGGCTGTGCCTGTGGCAGACTCGATCATCTTGATATTCTTGCGCCCACGTCCGCATATCAACGTATGCATAGTCAGCTCTAGCTTCATGGTATCGACGGTCCGCTTGAGCTGTGACGGCATCGGATTAGCATATTGCGCTAGCGGGCATCTGTGGGGCTCGCAGAACTCACAATCTGGTCGATCATAATCAGCACACGCGTTTTTGCATGCTCCATGGTCTCGAGATCGCCGTAGATGGCACAGCGCAGACGCGGGTCCATGCCTGTGTCGATGTTGCCATGGAAGCTCGCCGTCTCGATGTCGGGCTGCTTGGGCATCAGCAGGAAGATGTCAGCCTTGGTGGCCTTTGAAATCATGTCGAGCTGTTGAAGCACGGCACCCTTGACGTTCTGCGAGGGCGGGTCGATGATGAGCTGCGAGTCAATATCGACAAAGGACGATCGCTGTGCCAAGACGTCAGCATGTGCTTCACGGGCGTAATCCCAGCATCATCAGCCTACCAGAGAGATGGGCGTCGAGTTCAAGATGCGGCAGCGCATCGAGTTGACTATTTCCAGCTCGCCAGACAGGCACACGTTGGTGACGAGCGCCCGCAACGGGCCCCGCTGCAGGCCGGGTAGCGGCTTCGACTCGGCCGACGTGACGTTGGCCGAGACACGTCCCTCAGTCTGCTCGCTCACTTCTCGACACAGGTTCCGCAGGTTGTCGACATTCTGGGCGTGGACAGGCAGCTTGTGTGTCGGGGTAGCATCTGCCGTGCCTTCCGGGTGAGTCCACCGCGCCTTCGCCCCCGGGCTTGCCCACATGATGTCGTCCGGGTCGGGTCCGGCGAGGTTGGAAGAAAAGGGCACGTTGAAGGACAGATTGACCTGGGTGCCGGGCGGTATGACGGGAGGCTGTGACGTCGCCGTCGAGGGACGCTTGATCGGAGCTGTGACGGGCATTTCGTGGTTGGACCTCGAGAAGGAAAAGGCAGTGGACGGTGCCATTTTCTCCCAGCCGTGACGGGCCTGTGCCGGGAAGTTTGATAATTTGTGCATGGTGGTGGAGTCGACGCCCTAGGTGTTGGCGGGCGGGAGGTGGTGGGAGTGGGAGAAAGAAGGACGAGGAAGACCGGAGGGCAGCAGCTGTCGAGCGAGCGTCGAGCAAGGCGGTGCCTGGCTGTGATTGGCTTGTCACATGTGCTTAGTGGGCCACGAACACCATGACCATGGTGCAACAAAAAGAAGATATTCACCCCTTCCCACCCCCCAGCCCAAATGCAGAAGCTTCTACCGCCCTTCGAGATTGGTCCCTTGAATTGCAACTTGACGTGCTTTTTTCTTCTGGTCGTGTGCCATGTGCTGTCCGCGTGCTTGCAGTGCCTGTTGAGCTGTGCTGCGTCGTGTGGGCCGGGAGGCGCCCTGCCAGTCTATCGCCAAACAAGCATAGCCGGCGCTCAGACAGGCTCGGTATTGCAGCATCATGGCATATCCGAGCAAGAATAGAAGTCTAGAAGGGCTCCAATCACACCCTCTTTTCTACAAAGTATAGACCTCGTCGCCCTCTTCGCCTCGAGCTCTCACCTTTGCAACCCCCCCACGCGCGTCAAACAGGCACGGTTGCGTGAGAAACACTGTGCGTGTGTGTAACGAAACAGCCCTCGTAGCTGGAACCTCGAGGCAGTCCGCGCTCCCCTCAGGATCCATCTGTCTACGTGGGGATGCGATCTGCCCATCTCTTGGTGTCAGAGCCCACTGCGCGGTTACGTCTCCCCTGCAGTGCGATGACGGGTGCCCGCTCACCAGACTCAAAACGGAAAACCTTACTCTCTAGTCGGCACCACAGCCGAGGAGCCCTACCTGTGCGCATGTGGCACTGAGACACTGATACTTCGAGTCACTGAAGAGCACCTTCCAAGAGTAGGAGTGGATACTGCATCCAGATACAAATGCAAGTGAATACACTGCGCTAGCAATGGCTATCCAACGCTATAGACTCTTACAATTCTATACAACACCAACGCCCATCACACACACTAACTAGGGTATCCTACAACCATTCAACACAAATTTATCGTTTCAACAAGCTCTAGTAGCGCGTGTACATGCGACGCGGCTCCACAAACGGATCTGAGGCCACTTCGATAGGTCCTTCTTCGACATATCGCCTACCCTGAGGTGCACCAACATAGCGACGCTCATCAAAAGGCTCCTGCATAACACTGACCTCACGGAACCGAGGCTGTGAGGCGCGAACCGCAGATGGCTGTATGCTCTCATGGCGAACATAACCTTCAGGCACTTCTCGTCGAACAACCTCCGGGCGCATACTGTACGATCGTGCAGACGCGTACTCTCGTGGCGGGCCCATCTCTTCATATTGTGGCGCAGGCCTGTATTCCACCTCTACAGGACGCCGGGATGGCTCCCGTTGCCGATACGGACTCTCAATCATCTCAGACTCTGATGCCTCAACGTAGCGTCGAGGCGGTGGAGGCATCCTCTGAACAGCGTCCTCTTCATACAACTCTGCACGTGCGGGTGCACGCATTGTTGGCTCCCGCGTTACAGCCCGCTCATAGTATGGCTCAACCTCCACTCGTCTGCTAGGTGGCGCCATCGACTCTCGCGCATCCACTGGTGCTGCGTAGTATTTGTTTCCAAACTGATCTACGACAATACGGCGTGGCGGTGGAGCCATGAGCTGCTGGGATGGCATGTATTCATGGATAGGTGATCGTGAACGTTCGCGTATGTATCTGGGTGCGGCTGATGGGCGAGCTGACGCTTCTCGGTACATCGGTGCCTCAGTACGATCGACGAAGGCGTGAGATGCTGCGCGAATCTGGCGAGGCTCGGGTGCTGCGTACAACTCATTGCCACCACCACCTGGCGAGTAAGGTCGTCGTGCATATTGAAGACTTGCAACCCGCCTGAGATCTTGTTCATCACGTAGAGATTTACGTTGTGGTGTGTGTATGACAGTTGGAGACGAAGGCTCATCGTACTCGCGGTAAGATCGTGTGAGAGGTTCCGGATCACGATAATACATAGGTTGCAACCTGGGACTGTTCTGCGCGGATACAAGCTCTATTTCATCGGGATGAGGCTGCAGCGCACGTCGTTTACTGGGCTGCGAATCGGGGTATGTAGCGAAAGGAGGAGGTGACTGCGGCTCTTCTTTGATGTACGGCTCGGGCGAGTTGGCGACACGTTTGCTAGCCTGTTGCTGTTGTTGGCGCTTCTTCTCGTCGCGCTCGCGCTTCTCTTCTCTTCTCCGCTTGCGAGGGTTTTGAACTGGTGCTGCAGGACCGTTCGGGCTTTCACGGCGTGATCTACAAAGCGTTAGTATGAAGATGATTGAGAAGATATAAACAGATGAGGAAGCGAAGAGAGGCATGCAAGAACAGCCATGACTGGCCTCAAGGCAGCAGAGCTCATGGTCAACAGTATGGCAACACTCGCTACCATACAATCATGGCTGAACCTGAATAGATAAGCCACCGCAGGTGTAGTGAAGACCAAGCTGGTGATTCGACATGCGAAAAGAAAAAACGTTGGACTGAGAAAGTAAGAGAGTTCTTTAGTATCATACCCATTCGTACCCCCATGGCGGTTGCGCTGCCGACCCCTAAGAGGCTCGCTTGGGCCGATCTCGGCTGGAGGCGGAGAGTAGTCTTCCTCTTCTTCACCATCCTCATGCAGTTGTGCAGGCTCGGGTTCATAGATTTCTATGTCATCGGCCGGCTCATAGGCCTCTTCGTCGAGATCGATCACAGTAGGCTTAGCCGGGCGAGAGTGGACATTCACATGCTGGGCTGCTGGCTGCGCCTGTGAAGTCAGTGGAGCTACATCAGCATGGGCGTGGTCAGCGTGATCAACATCCTCTGAGGACCAACTGTTCGCCTTGCTAGAGTAGTACGAATTCTCGTCAAATGACTCAACGTCATCGCTGTTGTTAGTCAGAGACGGTAAGCCAGACACAGGCGGAACCAGCTGGTGAGCCTTGATCAAACACTGCTCGACATCGATGAGAGCTTCTCGCTCGTCTGCATCGGTGCCACGACCCTTTTTATCGAACTGATCCTTCAGGGCGCGCTCTATCTGTTGCCGCTTCAGCTGCTGCTCTGCCTTGACCAGGTGTTCGGATTTTGTGAGCAAGATGGGATCGATGCTCGAAGAGGAAGACTTGGCCGAGTATGGTCGCTGTGTAGGGGGTATAGGAGATGTGGGAGGCCGTGTGGAGGATGCTGGACGCGGAGGAAACAGCTGCGACGAAGATGCGTTGGATGTGCCGTTGGTCGTGGGTCTGCTAGAAGCAGTCTGCGGAAGACGCGGTGCAACCTGTTCAATTACTTTGGGTGGAAGATGAATACGCGGGTGTTTGCTAGCAAGCACTTCATCGCGTATCTGCAAAATCTTCTGGAGGAACTCGGCCTCTCGAAGCACCTCTGCAGACACTGCGCCGGCACCGTTCAGATGCGAGGGCGGCGCTGCGGCTGTCGACATTGAAGCGATTGGTGCTGCCATCACAACAGACGCGAAACTGAGCTTAGTACCAAACACCAACAAGCGAGCGCAAGACTGGCGATTATACAAATACAGGCGACACCCGCGACTGAGCTGGGTGGGAAGATGATGAAGGGGAACGAGTTTCAGCAACACGCCAGCGGGTGGGTAATGAATGTCGGAGCCACGGCGCGTTCTGGTTTTCAGCAGGTGCACGCGCCAGCGATGCCACTAGGCCTGAAGAGGATGGTGGCTTCCTCATGTACTCATCACGGTTTCGATGACTGTAAATGCAACAAGCGCGTCTACTTGAGAAGTACACTGAACATTCGCCTCGCTTTCGTCTACACTGCTGCAAGGTATGACGCTCGATCTGTATCACCACGAACTCCATAACTAAAGCTTACACCAAGTAGACAATCTTTGGAATCTCCCAACGCCACCTATTCAGACAACACAACTTGGATCACTTAATCATCCCAACCCATTTTAACATCCAACTGCTTGAATCAATCCCTCTGTATCCATCAAGTTGAAGCCATGGCTTTCAACACAGCAGCGCCTCCAGAGAGCATGGAGTATCGTCAATATGACTCAACAGCAAACAACAACGCCACAGTGGACGAGAACGAAAAGCCAGTCTTCTTCTTCGATATCGACAACTGTCTCTACTCAAAGAGCCTTGAGATTCATAGGATGATGGGTGAGCTCATTGACCAATTCTTCCAAAACCACTTGAGCTTGTCGCAAGAAGATGCCAACGAACTCCACTACCGGTATTACCGCGAATATGGTCTTGCCATCGAAGGACTTGTTCGTCACCACAAGGTCAATGCGCTAGAGTACAACAGCAAGGTTGACGATGCGTTGCCTCTGGAGGATGTCATCAAGCCCAATCCAGAACTGCGCAAGTTAATCGAGGACATCGACACGAGCAAGGTCCGGTTATGGCTCTTCACCAATGCCTATATCAATCACGGCAAGCGTGTCGTCAAGCTTCTGCAGGTTGACGATCTTTTCGAGGGCATAACTTTCTGCGACTACGGCTCGGACAAGTTCTACTGCAAACCGCACGTGGAGATGTTTGAAAAGGCGATGGCGGAGGCTGATATCAAGTCGAACGAGAAGTGCTACTTCGTGGGTGAGTGAGACCAAAGGTTCCCTCTACACATGGTTTGCTAATGTCCTGACGCAGACGATTCTTATATTAATTGCAAAGCAGCCGAGGGACGTGGGTGGAAGACGGCGCATCTGCTTGACGAGAACGACCCTGCGCCCGCTCAGCCAGCAAGCAAGTACCAAATCAGGAGCTTGCAGGAGCTACGCAAAATCTTTCCAGAGGTCTTCAAGAGTTCATGAGACGGTACATGAAAATAAATCGTGTTTGCGCAAAAGGATAGGCAGGGTTCATGCAGCTGCATCAGATGAATCCTGCGGATCTTCAAGGCTATAAGGATGAAGACTACGTCATAGACTAGATTCAAACTGGATAGAATAATCACAAGATTAATGCTAGAGCGTTGAGATCAAAGGTTAGATTTACGGAATAATTTACATTGCGGGTAACCATGGCTCGGTCTCTTATCGTTCGTGAGCACAAAATGCGCGTCTCCGTTGCCCTTGCGTGTTCTTACGACCAAACGTAGCACCAAATCCAGGCAACAACGTCCTGGGGCATTTTAATCCGTGTCCAAAACTCTACATTCTCGATCTAGGTTACCAATGAAGACAACAAAGCAATATCAAACCATGACTTCAACAACTACCACGAACACAACCCCACCCGCCCCGCAGTCCTCCGCGTTACCCCCAACACACCCCTTCAACACCTCAGCCAACGCAACAACACTCGCCGACCACACCAACCAACTCCCCGTCCTATCCGGAAAAGTAACACCTCGACGAAAACCACTCCTACGCCTTGAACTCCGTGACTTATCCTCCGATGGCGCACGCGCCTTCCTCCGCCTCATCCACGCGTCCAACGCGCTCGAATACGCCGTCGACGCCGTCCTCAGCTGTCTCTACAGTGACCTGCCCATATCATGTATACCTGGCACGCGCTCCATCACCCTGATCTTGCGGGAGATGGACGGCGTTGCATACACTACGGGACGGGATCTCGATGACGACCACAAGGAGATACATCTAAACACAAGCTACATATCACATGTACCTGAGTTGCGGCAGAAAGAGGAGATCATGGGTGTTGTAGTCCATGAAATGGTACATTGCTGGCAACACAATGGACAAGGCGCTGCACCTGTGGGCCTCACGGAGGGCGTGGCGGATTGGGTAAGGCTGAAGGCTGGGTATGCGCCGCCGCATTGGAAGAGGCATGGAGATTGTGATTGGGACGCTGGGTATGAGAGGACAGGATATTTCCTCGAGTGGTTAGAGAAGGAGCATGGGAAGGACGTTGTGAGGAGGATCAATGAGAGATTGAGAGAGAAGTACAATGGCGAGAAGTTGTGGAAGGGGTGCTGTGGGGAGAGTGTTGAAGAGTTGTGGAAGGCGTATAAGAAGAGTTTGGAAATCTGCGGGTAAGGGTCTGATACTGAGGACAGGTTATCAGAAGAATTATTTGGAGTATCACAATAGGGACGCCTTACTTAATGAAAACAGAATCCAGAACATGCTACAAACCGCGGTTATATCACGGGCGGTTCCATATACCAACACGTTATCTCTACGAGACCTAACAAAGATCTCGCTCTCAAATTTACCTCCGCCTCCTCGCAGGAGCAGCCTTTCTTGGTGCCGCCGCTTTAGGTCGCAGAGCACTCTCTGCGGCACTCTTCTCGGCCTCTTTCCTCTGATACGCCATTCCTTGCTCTCTGTCACGTTCTCTCTGCTTTGCCATTTTCTCATCTCCCTTCCTCTGCGCTGCAATCACCTTTTCTTCTTGCTTTCTCAGCTGCGCGTCTGCTTTATCTCTTTCCTTCTGTTGCGCCTTAGCAGCCTGGTCTTTCTGTTTCTGCTCAGCCTTTGCGGCCTGACTTCTCTCTTTCTGCTGTGCCTTTGCGACCTGGTCCCTCTCCTTCTGCTGAGCTTTGAGAATTCTGTCTTGTTCCTTCTTCTCGGCCTTTGCAGCCTTATCTAGTTCCTTCTGGTAGACGGCTTGGTCGTGGGCAGCCTCTTTTTGCTTAAGCTTCTCTTCCTTGTCGTGCTCTTTTCTTCCAATCGCTTCTTCTTTGGCAGCGGTCTCCTGCCTGAGTTTCTCTTCTTTATCAGCTTCCTTGGCTGCTAGCTTCTGTCTCTTTCGTTCTTCTTTCTCGGCGATTGTCTGCTTGAGCTTCTCCTCTTTGGATACCTCTTTGGCTGCAGCTCTGAGTTTTGACTTCTCTTCCTTTTCCGCAATTTTCTGCTCTAGTTTCTCTATTTTGGCCGCATCCTTTGCTGCTAGTTTTAGCCTCCGATTCTCATATTCAACAGCTTCTTTTGCTGCCAGCTTTTGTTTCCGCTTCTCTTCCTTGTCAGCATCCTTGGTGCCAGCAGTATCGTGTTTCGCAGTAGACTTCTGCCTTAGCTTTTCCTCTTTGTCTATTGCCTTCTTATCTGATGCTAGTACCTTTGCCTCAAGCTTCTCGCGTGTCTTCTCTGCTTTCTTAGCCTCCTTATTGGCTTTCATGGCGCTAGTCTTTTCAGACTTTTCAGCATACTTTGCATCTTTGTCGTTCGTAGACCCGTTAGCATTCGGGGATTCTTTCTTATAAGCCTTCTCAGCTTCCTTCTTGTCGGCTTTCTCAGCTTTGTGCACTAATCTCAATCCCAAAGCTGTTCTCTGAACTTCGGCTTTCGTTGCATTCGCCTCCTTCTCATGTTCGTTAGCCTCTTTCCTAGCGGCTTTGGTGTCTGAAGCCATATTGTCTTTACCGCCTAACTCGAAAGCTCCAGTCTTACACTCCTGATGCTCAGCGCCCTTTCCGTCTTCCTTGGCTTTTCTCTCGGCCCTCTTTTTCGCTATGATAACTCCCTTCGGTGATCCCTCTAAGTTCTTTGTTTCACTATCTTGTTCTATGAAGCTCTCCTGGTTGGGTTTTGCGCTGTCTCCTTCGTCCCGCTTCCCCTTCAATTGACCATTGGAATCTGTCTGATCTGTAACCGCACTGCCATTTTTGACACCCGACTCAGTAGCCTGTTTCTGGGCGTCAGCATCCTTTTTCGCTGCCTTCTTGTCCTGCTTCACTGCTTTACTCTCAACTCGCTTTCTTTCTACTTCTCCCCCCATACTCGTGGGTAGCTCCATCTCGCCTTTCTGCTCGCTATCTACGCTGTCTTTTCCCATTCCGGCCACTCCTTGGTAGGCTCGATCTGTACCAGACTGTAGTTGGGTAGTGCTTTGAACTCCACCTTTTCCGTCCTTATCAACTTTTTCTTGACCATTGGAACTATTGGAATTTTGCTTAGTCTTGGCTTTCTTAGTTTCTCTTTTCAATTTCCTCTCTGCCTTTTTCTTTGCTATGAGACTTGCTTCCTGTGCTTCTCGCTCCGCCTTCGCATGTTGCTCTGGTGTGACGTTGACATGCATGCCATTCTGCTCGTGCCGATGTCTTTGCTGACCATGGCCTAAACAACGCTCGCCTCGATGATCATGACGTACAGCGCCAGTGTGTTGCACACCTGGGTGTCCCCCTAGATGCTGTCCTCGATTCTCATCCCATTGGTCTTCTTGAAAGCTGCCTTTCTCACCATACACTTGTCGATCATGGTCTCTACGTGCTGTATCGTAAGTTTGGGGTACTGGGATATCGCGAATCTCTTCGGTGACTGTATGGGATTGTCGAGCTGTGTCTCTCTGTGGCCCCTCCATGGTACTGCTGGTCTCTATATGTCGTTCCTCTTCCTCCTCCCTCATGCGCTGCTTGTCCTCTTGTTGTTGTATCTTTTTCTCACGGTCGGCCTCTTTCTTGGATGCTCTATTCTCTTCTTCGGCCTCCTTCCTAAGCCTCTTATCTTCAGCTTCAGTTTCTCGTCTAGCCCAGTTATCGTCTAAGTTTCTTTGACGTTGCTGCACCCTATCTTCCCGTTGCATAGCACGTTCCTCTAGACGATACGCGGCTTCAGCAGCCTTCTGGTCTATCTTGTGTTGTCTCTCACTTAATCGGCTTTGCATGTTTGTTTCCTGTTCAGCCTTTCTAGCTTCCCGTGTCATAGCCCGCTCTTCAAGACGCTGAGTTGCTTCCATGGCTTTGCGATCCGCTTTCTCCCGTGCCCGTTCGATTTTATCAGCTGACTGGAGTTCTCTTTCTGTTTGGCGAGCTTCTCGATCTATCTCTTGTTGCTGTTGCCGCTGAGTGGCTTCTTCAGCCTCCCGATCCCGCCTTTCTTCTGCCTGGGTCGTCTTCATTTCCAGATCGTTCGCTCTCTTTTCCTTCTTAGCTTCATTGTCTATCTCGCGCTGCCCTCTTCTTTGCTCAGCTTCCTCAGCTCTTCTTTCTCGCTTGGCCTCTGTGTCTTCTCTTCGACGATTCTCACGTTCGTCACGGTCGGCAGCCTTCCTTTCATCCCTTTGCCTCTTCTCTTCGGCTCTTCTTTCATCCTTTGCCGTCTTCTCTTCAGCTCTCCTTGCGTCCTTTTCTTGCTTTGCCAACCGTTTAGCTTCGTCCGCAGCCATTTTCTGGTTTGATTTGTCGGCAACGTCTTGTGATTCTTGTTGTTCTTGTAGCTGTTGCTGTTCCTGCTGGGCCTGTTGCTGTAGCTCGATCTCTTCAGTTTCCTGTGCGGCTAGCTCTTCCGCCTCTGTGGCAGCGAGTTCGTCAGTCACATAGGCGGCAGTTTCTGCAGCTTCTTCGGCTTCCTCCTGTATTTGCTCTTGTCCTAAAGTCTCCTTTCGCATAGCAGCATGTATCTGTTCATGACGCTCCCGAGCCATTGTCTGCCTTTGTGCTTGGACATGAAGTTGATGTACCTGGTCTTGCTCTTCTTCTTGTACTATGTCTTCAGCATCCTCTTCTTCGTCCACTAGTCTTTCTTCTAAAGCTCTATGTGCTGGCACAGCTTGCATCTGCTGCTGACGTTACCAGCTAAATGTTTGGTTTCGCGCATGGACTTGCATCTGAGGTGCTACCCCATCTACCCGTGCATGAAATGTTTGTCCTAAACTTACATCGTCTTCATCAGTGCCCTCTTCTTCCTCAAGTTCTTCTATCACTCCATCGCCATATTCCTCTTCTTCTTCCCCGTCCTCTACTTGTGAAGTCACCAGATCTGGAGGAATTCCCCCCTGGCCTCGAAGTTGCTGTATCGATTGCATGCGTTGTTGTTCATTGAACTGCTGTCTCGCCAGCCCGTCGCGTTGCTGCTGCGATCGAACAATCACGTGAGAAGCTTGTGTGGATTTTACAAGAACCTGAGCAGTAGCCGGGTCTCTGTTCATTTCAATGGGAACTTTCTGATTCCAACCTGCTTCTCGTACTTTCTGTCTAGCTGCCTCTGTGATAGAAAGAGATTGTGGCTTGTCGACGACGGGCCGTGCTGGAACCTGCTGCCGTAAATCATTGCTACTCTTGTCGGCTTCGCTGTCATCCTCAGAAACTCCGTTGGCTGAAGCATGGTTATGATCGCTCTCCTCGGCAGTACTCCCATCTAACGACTCATCTTCGCCGTCATCTGTACTTTCAGCTTCGCTATCAACTATGTCATTAAAACCGCTATCTTCTTCAGCCTCATCTGGAGTCTCTTCGTCTTCACTGACTTCTTCTTCGCTATCGAAGTCCCCAATACCGAAATTGCTATAGTCAGAATCGTCTTTATCATCTGGGGCAATAACGGGAAATTCTTGATTGAGTTGATGAAGTAATATGTCAGGTTTGCTCGAAAGTTGAGAGCCTACAATAATCGGATTTGCTGTCGCCATGATATTCAAGCTTACCAGCATAAAGCTGTATGGTTCAGTCTGGAGAGCGTGTATACTCAAGCCTTCATGGGATATGTGATAGAATTGTGAAACTTTGAAAGAATTCCTAGCTTATGCGGAGAAAGAAGAGCAACCACGTAAGAGACTTTATATTCAAAATAGCGAAGAGACTTTTGTACAACGATGAAGGTTGCTGTGATAGTCTGTCATTGAATTTGACTTCAACTGCGTGAATTGGACAACATGCACGTGGAGACAGAATCAGCACTCTCGTTTCTGCGTTCTTCATACTTCCGTATGGTAACCTTGAGGCACAAATACGGTGATGCCTTTGTGCTTCCTGCTTCACTGCCAGCACCGCTTCAGATTTTGACTTGTAATCAAGTTTCAACAAGTAAAGTGAATATTTTCAGTTTATTACTGATCATCTGAGGCTTATATTTGCCAATGAAAGCTGTGACATAGAATTTCGATGTGAATTACAGTATGCTGTACCTATTCAAGAAGTCTGAATCGCTATTAACAGGAGATAGATCTGTTACGATATACCTACACAGCTGTCAGTTGATAAACCATTACATTGAGTAGCACACTTCCATTCATTCACCTATTCAGCTCAATCACATCGACGCCTCTCTCTACAATAAGATCAATCTCACCAAAATCACGAAACAAAATCTCATCTATCGAAATCCAACAGTATTGGACATGTGCATCATCGTTCCAAGAAAGACCTGCCCTACATGTGGACAAGGTGGCAAAGGTCATGATCCATATACACAAAGGGGCTCAGATACGATTAATTGTGGAAAAACCGGCCCATTGTGCGAAAGAGTTGTCATAGGTGATACCAAGGGGAAGAAAGGAGATTGCGAGGCATGTGTCTTGGAGAGCACATATGAACAGAGGAAGACGGAGGGTAATTTGACAGAGAAGGAGAAGAAAGCGGAAAAAAAGAAGGATGCAAAGATAAGGCTTAAGCTGGATGTGGAAGAAAAGAGAAAGAAACTGTGGCCTAGTGCTGAATAAAGCTAGTTTCATGATTATGATGTGAGGAGCAGATAATGGGACGTTTCTATGAATCGAAAAACGTTAGCTCGTGCCGAACTCGAGTTAAAGTTCCGTCTGGTAGCGATGGAAGCCGAGCGCATACTCGTAGATCTTATCTCGTAGCTCGCGTGGTAGATCAAGAAGGCGGAAAGGCTTTTCGTTGTAGTGACTGCTCATGATGCTTGGCAGAGGTGGGGTGAAGAAGATGTGGTTCGGTTGAGCCCGCTGACGTTCAGGCATACACAGCTGATAGTGGCGCCTGATCTTCGCTTCACTTCGCCTAGCGCATCGGACAATGTGCGGTTTGAGTATGGACATCGACGTAATCCTTTCGCGACTGGACGAAGAAGAGTCATCGTTTTGAACTTATACTCCTGCCTGAGCTCCTATCCATGGGAACGGAGACGTGCTAAAGTCGTAAAGTATTATGGTATTGACAGCGTGTTATGAGAACTTGTTGGGTAGCCTTCCAGTCCGAGTTCCAGGTGATACGCCGCTAGAAAATCGCACTGAAGCGCTTAGAATACATGCCTACGCAACCAGTTTACAGCCGTCTCCATAGCCCTCAACTCCCAAACAACCCGCTCGCCGGCGTACCCATTGTATCGCGATGCAAAGCTCACGTTGGCCATTGGCCGTGCCAATGCCCGAACTGGCGAAAGACAACTCTTACTCTACGCCCTCGACCTTCCTCAAAAACTCCCTGACCCGACCTACTTCGACACCTTCTCCTTCTTCGCTATCTAGAGCCGCCACTAAGCCTTCAAGACACTCTTCAATCCTGCTCTCCTCTACCTTCGTGCATAAGCTAACGACCTTGCGGTACATCATCTCCAGTTGCCCATCTTTCTCTTTCAGCATCTTGCTACGTTTGAGCAATGCGCCGTTCGCATTCGTATAGGTATGAAGTCGTTGTTGGAGGACCGAGGCAGCAGGCAGTTGCTGAACGGCATAGCTCTGATATTGCGGTTGATGCGATACCTGCTTGAGCGTTGCCGGATCCAGTGGAATAGTTGTCGATAGATAAGAAGCTCCATCTGAAGCTCGACAATCTAGATGATCACCCGCTTGCCGGAGCTCATAGGGCAGGTCGTCTTCCTTGATGAGAATGCCTGCACCTTCCAGGTCGGCGTATCCTATTCTCTTCTTTTCATGCAGGTCAATGTCACCTGCATTGACGGAGAGCATGTGTCGTTGTGGCTCGAGCCAACGCTTCAGATTCGATATTCGCTTGGCCCGGTCTTGTCGTACACGTAACCGAGCACGTAGGGACTCAAGTCTTTGTTGCTCCTGCTTTTGTTGAGTGGACAGTTGGGTGATCAGCTCGTTCGTTTGATCTATCGCGTCTTGTTTTAGACGCGCTTCTTGCGTGAACTGCATCGAAGCTGACTGAAGGATGCCATTCATCACTGAAATTCCTGTTAACGAGTGGCTCTCTGAAACCAAGGTGAGTCTCGACTTACATGGTTGTATCTCTCGGCTAGTCTCCTCAACTTTGCTCAAGGGCGCCTTGCCCTTGCTGGGGCTGTTTGCGGCCATGATGACTTCGCCGTCGCCAAGATCACTGCCAACGCCAAAGTCGATCGGTCTCGTTCCTTTGTGATTGGGGATCGTCGGGTCCGCTTGTACTTCCATGAGTTGTGAGATGATGTTGCGGTTACCTATTCTCGCTGCTAGATTAAGTGCTGTGTTGCCGGCTTTGTCCCGCGCGTTGACCATTTCTTGCATGAACCTCATCAGTCCTATGGGCTTCGGGTAGTTGCTAGTGTCGTGGAAAGAAGGCATCTGGCTGGCGCCGATATTGCTCCGTACAAGATACTCAAGAAGTGCTTCGAGGTAGTACTTGCTGGAGGCCGCACGCCCTTTTATAGCACACGTTACCGCAATGTGGTGTAATATCGTCCGTCCTTGAGAGTCTCGTAGTTCGATGAGCGGCGCCAAGATCTCGAGCGTCTCCGGGAAGCAGCTATGATCCAGGCTGTTGTTGACGGAAACTGCACTCATCAACGGTGTCTGGCCGGAAGCATTTCCCCTAAACATGTTCGCTCCTTTTGAAACCAACAGCCTCATCAACGACACTCGGGCCAGAGTCGCTGCCCAATGTAGCGCTGTATTCGAAGTGTTGTCGATTGGCATGTCCAGATCAGCGCCAGAGAGATGGAGTATGGCGGGGTGATTGGTGAAGTCTGTCCTAGTCTGGTCCGCGAATAGATCTGTTAACATGGCCTGCTTTTCTTCGTTGTGCTTGGTGTCGGGGTGTGGTAAAGGCGGTAGGGCCGAAGGAACCTCGCCATCGGGAAGTTGGATGCGTTGTCCAGTGTGGTGTGGTTGGTAAAAGCTCTCACTTGGTTCTGTCGGCGAACCAAGATCACGCATTGACATGTCTGCTCCGTTGGGCTGCGAGTATGATTCGTCTTGCGATGTGCGCATGCGCTTCCGTGGTGGCTCTTGTGGGTCTTCTATGCCTGTGCCGTAGGCCGAGTCGTTGTGCCCTTGGCCGCTAAAACTACGTTCCGATGCTACGCTCTGCTGGCTGCTGGTGCGGAAAGATTCTTGGCTGGCGAGTGGTCCTTGTGATGGTCGTGCCATGCTTCTTCGGCCCTGCGATGATGAAGTGGGCCGTGGGGCAGGTGAGTTCAGCCGCGCAACCTTGTTCATTGCTGCAAGGGCGCTGGTGGCTGTGGAGGAGATGTTACTGAAGAAGGTACCGCCGACGCTCTGGCTGGTGGTGCGGCCGTCCATACTTTGGGTGTAGAAGCGCTTCCTGTTGGCTGCCATGGCCTGCTCTTTGGTGGGCGTCTCGATGCCCTGACCCTGGCCTTGGTTGCCGTCAACGCTGATGTCGTAGTCCAGCAGTGGTCGCAAAACATCCTCGACACCGTACTGGCGACAGAACTCTCGTCCGCGGCGGTAGTTGATCCAGGTGCCCTGGTACTTGCCGTAGCCACCCTGGACCTTTTCGTGTTCGCCATTCAGTATCTCTTTCTCCAACACCTTGGTGCGCTTCCCCTTGTCGACGCCAGCAACCTTCAGGATCTGGGTAGCGTTGAGCCAGCCGTCAGAGCGTCGGCGCATGACAGCGACCCGGTTCACTTCCATTTCGTAGACGGAGACGCCCGAGTAGACAGCCTAGGTTTGTTAGCGTGCCAATGCGACGGCAATGTTGTTGTTGTTGTTGTGGTGGTGGTGGTGGTGGTGGTGCGTACGGTGTATATCTGCGGCTTCTCCATGGCGTGCTGCTGGAAGCCGTTCATGTCGGAAAAGGACCGGTTGAAGCCAGCGGGCGCAGCCATGAGTCCCTGACCATGGGGAGATTGGGCGTACATGGCAGACTGGGGCGGCGAACCTGCGGGGAAGGATAGCGACGAGCGCGCGACTTGCATTATGTCAGCGCAGTCGCTGGCGGTGTTGTTGGTGACTGTACGGGTCAAGCGACGATCATGGGGGCGTGGGCAGGTGCAGTCGGGGCGCGCAACGTGTGCGCTGGAAGCGGTATGCTCGGTCAAGGGGTTGCGATATGCGATATGCGATATGCGATAGGCGATATGCGCCGGATCAGGACTCGATGTCGGTATGCGGGTGGGCGGGGAGTGAATTGGCCGTCGTCGTGGAGAGAGTGGAGATTCGCGTCCAACGCGTCGTCGGTTGTGCACACTCGGCCAATCACACGTCTTGCATGTTTGATTGCCCAGCCGCAGCCACCACAGCGTCTGCCACCCTTCCGTCTCGTCTCCCGCATGCCTGTCCAGCCAGTTCACCTGCTGCGAGCCCTTCTGCGCGAAGCCTCGTACCTGCCCGATGCGACTGCCCGTACCTACTTCCGCCGGTACATTGTCCACCGATATAAAGCCTACCAGCCCACGCAGAACGCGACTGCTGCCCTCCATGTCCACGCCGTGGACAAATACAGGCACAGGAGCTTCAAGAGGCGCCAGACAGCCATCATAAATGAGCGTACACGACCACTGCTAAGGAGGGGACTGAAGAGCCTGAATTTCCTGCGCCGGGCCAACCAGGGCGAGATACCATGTCTGCAAAAGGTCTTGTTCTTCGCCTACGGTCGCATGGGAAGGCGGAAGTATGCCTTGCTAGAGAACATACTGAAGCCTGACCGTATCATGGACGGTGGTGCAATCGCAGCGTCAAATGAAGCAGGTCCGGCGCCCCTGCAGAAGCTCTACTGCAGCAACAAACGCTACCTCCAGTACTTCGATGCGCCCAAAGCTGCTACCAAGACGCATCACACCATCAAAATCTCCAGTCGCTATTCTCGCTTGCGCGCCGTCCTCAGGACACAGCACGAGAAGGCCATCTCCATGAACCGGGGGCTCAAAAGTTCAGCCCTGAAGACGCCCATCAACAATTCGTGGGAGCGACCTATGCCTATCAAGCGCGCGTGCAACAATGTCCGACGCTGGTATGCCGAGACCATGACGAGGATGCTCCCTCCACTACCTACTGAAGAATGGGACAATATATATGCCATGATGGTTGGCGACCGAAAGATTGGCTTAGTCAAACGCAGAGGACGCGGTACAGCCCTGAATGCTGATCCTGTTACAGAAGACGAACTTTTCGCCAGCACGGTAGAAAAGGGCATTGCATTAGACAAGCCCAGTAAGGCGGATAAACCAGCGGGCATACAACGACCACATGCCATTACAACTAGATTTATGCAGCGCATGTATACCAAGCTTCTCATGCTCTGTTGTAAGCTCGAGTGGGATGACGACCAGAAGCGATGGAAGGCTATCTGGGGTGAGGCTATGAAGACCATCAAACCCAGCCTCTACAACACTCCCACGGATGAAATGCTCTTTGCAGGTGTCGATGCGACTGGCAGAATCCCGAGGGCGCCCAAGAAGCATGCGCTGGCCAAATCGCTACACGTCCAGCCACGGAACTCAGAGGGCGAATACATGCGATTTCCCTTCTTCGCCGAACAACTTCCTGAAGATAACCCAATACGTAAGGAACTCGACGAGTGGAAGAGGAAGCGTGCTGCTGCTGCTGCGCGAGCAAAGAAGCAGAAGGCGTCATAAGAAGAAGCTCAGTTTATCAGGGTGTACTATAGATACTAAAACTTGTCCTAAAGGTATACATATTGATCCCGGTTGAAGAGCTATCAAGCAAGGAACAGTGTATGTCGTTAGGGTAGGTTTTGATACTCACGGTACAAGTCAATAAAATCAAGCTCCTTCCTAGGTGGGGTAGATCCGATTCCGATTACATCTCGGACTAGTTTTACCCCACATCGCGACTACCACAGGGCGCATCTCACAATGACATAAATTAGCGGCGCCCTTTACTCTATATTCAGCCATTGCAGTGAGCTTGGTAACATCACAACAACCAAAATGGCATCTTCAAACGCAACAGTCCGCCACGCGAGCCGTGAAGGTACAGCACCTCCAGCGCAATAGTGGGAGCCTACTAACCACTTGCGCAGATGTTCCTACAATTCTCGCTCTGATCCAGGAGCTTGCTCTCTACGAGAAAGCCAGTGACAAGGTCGACTCTACCGAGGAAATCCTTACACGCACCCTTGCACACCACGATCCTTCCACCTCGACCTTTTCTGAAGGCTTTGCCCGAACACTCCTCCTTACTGACCCTGACGGCACGGTAGCTGGCATGGCTCTATACTTCTACAACTACAGCACATGGACAGGCGTGCCAGGTATCTACCTGGAAGACCTCTTTGTTAAGGAGAATTACAGGAAGAAGGGTTACGGGAAGAGACTCCTGAAGGAGCTTGCTGGGGAAGTCCTGAAGGTCGGTGGCAAGAGGCTCGAATGGAGTTGCTTGACTTGGAACGAGCCCAGTCTTCAATTCTATCAGAGCGAGGCTGTAGGTGCGCAAACGAAAGATGCATGGGTGGGTCTAAGAGTGGAGGGGGACGCACTTGGGAAGCTCGCGCGTTCGTAAGCACTGAACGGAAAGTGTATTCAGTGTTTGCTGTGACTTGTTCCTGATCTTCTGCTCTTGCTTAGGTGAATGAATGCCCCAGGGCCATCCACGTGAACACGCGCCTGTGGGCCCGTGCGCGACAGTTTCCCCGTCCCAACCGTTGAGAGTATCAAATAGAATTTCGGAATACATCGTGACGTGAGTGAGGACGTCGAAGAAGCTGTCGAAGCGAACAATCTTGCTGTCTGTCGTACTATCGGTCTGGCTATGCACAAGAAATTACCACGAGAACTCCGCGACATGGTCTACGCGTACCTGACCACACTTGAACTAGAATTGTCAGACAAACCTGATCTCCATTCGCGAAAAGAATTTAGTCAACGAGTCCAACAACCAAAGTGCATGGAAGGCACTGCCAAACCGCCGAGATATACGACATACTTTGCCTTGCAGCCTCACTCGAAGAATGATGGACTTTGCTCAGAGCACTATTGGCGAGACGACGTCGTCAGCTCCAAAGTGGCTTCTGAGCCTATCGAATCCTGGTATCGGAACAGCACGTTCTACATGAAATACACAACAATGGATCATGCAGAGTCCGATAAATGATTTAAAAAGCTGTTTAACAGAGATATTCTTGGTAGTGGTTTGCAACCTCGTAAGCTCATTGCAAAGTTCAACCGCCAGATTTTGCATGACGATAGATTCCAGCAACCGACGCGAATGTCCTGCGATGTCTCGAGGGTCCGTGTTTGTTCTGGAAGTGACACAGTTACAAGTGCTTGTGGAATTCGTCTGTAGCGATGGGGCCGTAATGTTCAGGAGATTTATGGACCTCATACGTCCAGTGATTCTGCGTCTTCGCATATCTAGTCAACGTTGCGCAGTGCTGGCCTTCAACTAGTACACCACAGATCTTGATAGCAATATTTCCTAAGAGTAGGAGCAAGAAGTTTAAGTGGAGATCTAGAATGGTGACATATCAGCGCTGGGCGTCGTCTAGGAGAAAAGAGTAGTATACTACCTAGATACAATAAAGCCCCGGTAAATTTGTATATACCCAATAACTTCTTGACGTGCCTTGAAGGACTTCACCAACTTCCACAGCTATAATAGCATTACCGGAATATACCGAATACCTTTAGGGTACTCCAAAGCTAAAACGCACTTTTGAATGCCGAGCGCTTTCGTGTAGGTGCCTTGACAGAAGCTCACATGACGTCAACCTTGGAAGCTTTCACCCAGCTTGCCAACAACCTCCAGTAGCATACTCTCTAACTAACAGCACTAGCGACTTCGGTCAGAGTGCTCGGCTCTTGGGAAAACATGAACCAGCCGATTCGAAGTCCATCATTGACGATGAATGTATATCTCGGAGGGCTCGGAAGCCTTGGGCCGCAGTAAGGCCGATCGGCTTGTATCAATGAGGAAGGGTATGAGTGAAGCTTGACGGCAACTCAGAGAAACAATCAACATAAAGACAAAACCTTGCCAATTCATTTGGCGGGGTGTGATGTATCTGTTTCTTAGCCCTCCCTCAGCCCTCCTGGAATTGGGCTGACCCTGGAGAACGCACTCGATTGCTCGAACAAAACTAGTTGAGATGACGTATTGATATTAAAGAGAAATTCAAGCATACAAGCGCGAACACGCATGTAGACATCATGTAGATGTAGGTTAGTAAAAAATATAGTGCGCGCGAAAATAGCAACATTGACACGCTGAACTACTTGGGTACCTGCGTCGTGAGACCCTGCGGCCTACTCTATCATGCAGCGCCATGATCGCACAACCTCAGCTTGTTTTCTTCGGAATTTAAAGCAGTGATGAGATCAGAGGCTTTCGCAGGTATTTCGGCGTTTCCCAAAATTTCGTCATAGCTGAAAAGTTTGAGATAATAGCCAGCGGCAGATGTACATTCTCGGCTTCGGGAACCACCAGCAATCCGAAGCCGATAAATTGTAGGATACGACGGTAAAAGCATACATTTGCTATTTACTTCGAATTGGGTGTAGTTTAGATGTTTCAGTACTGATTGGACCAGTCCTGCTGACCGCTTGCTACTTTGAGCTCAGCTTGCGAACAACCCATTTCGGATATGCCTTCGTAAGCTGGGTAGTACCCTGGCTGCTGACAGGTCACATACAGATGGCCATGTGTTGAACACCATTTGACAACGGCCCTTCTGGTCGGGTTCGGACGCTCACCTCCTTCCACGACCAGGATCAGAACTTGAGGCGCAGTTCTCTACATACCTAAAGCCATGCAATAGTCAGTATATATGAGCAGGCTGCTCTTCGATAGTGAAATCTCCATCAACAAACAGATCAGCTTCCATCTCGTCTTCACAACTCTATCACTGCAAACATGGGCAACCGTTTCGTCTCCCCTCGTATCGAGAGGAGAGCTGTACTCCTCTTTCTTTCTGCCTACTTCTCCAGTTACGCTTCCGCAACCGCTGTACCCGAATCAGTGGACGTTGCCATTATCGGTGCTGGTCTTTCTGGTCTCACGGCAGCGCGAGAGCTCCTTCACGGTGGCAAGTCTGTCGTTGTGCTTGAAGCCAGAGACCGTGTCGGCGGCAAAGTGTACAACCACCCTCTGAAGAATGGCGGTGTCACCGAAGTAGGCGCTGAATTCGTTGGTCCGACACAGGATAAAGTCCTACAAATGATCTCTGACCTAGGACTGGAGACTTTTGATACATATGCCGAAGGGAAAACCATCTTGTGGCGCAACAATACCCGCCTTACCTATACACCGGATCCAGCACTCGGTGGTGCACCGCCAATTGAACAGTCGTCTCTCGTTGAAGTCGCTGGTGCACAGGGGCAACTGAACGCATGGGCAGCTGAGCTCAATACGAGTGCCCCATGGGCACATCCCAAGGCTAAAGAGCTGGACAGCATGACTTTCCAGCAATTTATCGATCAGCAAGCAACCCTCTCGGACACCTCTCTTGTATTGACCACAGCATGCAAGGCCATATTTGCTGCAGAACCACGCGAACTCTCCTTGTTATATGTCGTCGCATATATTGCAGCCACTGGAAACGAAACAACTGTCGGAACCCTAGACAGATTGACCGCCATCAAAGACGGTGCTCAAAAGAAACGGGTAGTGGGTGGAACCGGTCTCATTCCGGAGACCCTAGCGAAGAAAGTCGGCAGTGAGCATATCGCCCTCAATGCCGCTGTATCAGCTATCACCAAGACAGCCCATGGTTACAAAGTCGTTTCTCGAGCGGGAATGGTACATGCGAAGGAGGTCGTACTAGCTATGGCACCTCCGCTGCTGCGCCAAATCAACTTCTCACCATCACTTCCCAGCAGCCGCAACCAACTCAACCAAGAGATGAGGATGCCCTCGATTGGGAAAGGCATTCCAATCTATACAACTCCCTTTTGGCGCCACGATAATCTGAGCGCACAAGTCTTTTCTGACTATGGCTCCACCAAAGTAACCTTCGACAGCACCCCCGAGGATACCTCTTTCGGCGCAATTCTAGGCTTCATTCTCGGCGACGAAATGCGTGCTTTGGATAAACTGACCCCGGCGCAATGCGAGAAGAAGCTCCTGGCCGATTACAAAAGGTACTTCGGGGAAAGCGCGACAAACGTGACTGAGTTTGTGCTACAGCGCTGGGACTTGGAAGAATGGTCCAGAGGAGGTCCAGTAGCGGTTGCTCCACCTAATGTGCTCACACAGCACGGAAGCGCGTTAAGAGCAAAGGTCGATGGGTTGCATTTTGCTGGTACGGAGACGAGCCCGTACTGGACTGGGTACATGGACGGCGCTATCCGAAGCGGAGAAAGAGTTGCTAAGGAGATTCTAGAAGACTGAGTTTGGAGCCGAAGTTGGGGTAGTGGTGAGAGGTTAGTGTTGTGATCGATTTAGTATGCAGTTAGAACGTAATATACTTGTTTCTGTCTTACAACCAATCAACGAACTTGTCGAGCAAGAGAGTCTTACGCTCTAGTGCAATATACAAAGTAGTTACTCCAGTTTGCGGCGTGATACCCGGTGATCTGCACACCCGCTGAACCTAGTTTCCGTAGCTAAGTGACTAGTTACTCTATTCGACGCCAGATCGGCATGTCGTGATGTGCCTCGGCTCCAGATGAATATCACCAGGAACTCGTATAACAGGAAGCTCCAACATGTATTGATTGCTTTTTCGTCCCCGCATAATTTTGACCCGTGTTTTGCTCTTTGGCTTGGTCTCGTGTCAGATCACCATTGCCACAAGATATCCGACGACACCATGCACTTCTCACTCTCCCTCCTGTTTCTTTCAACCATCGCATTCTGTTCGCCAGTTCCACAGGTCCTGCCCACAGCACAAGATGTGACTCAGTCGGTGATCAACATCCATAACGCCGTTCTCGAGCTCGATGCCACAGTGCAAGCCTTCCAGGGCGGCTCTTTTGAGACAGCCATCGTTGAAGGCAAAGAGGTGCTTGCTGGCGTAGCAAAAATCCATACTGTGAACCGGGAAGGTTTCCGACGTGCGACTCTTGCTCTGCCGCCATTTAGCGTGGAGGATACGATCAAATTTATTGATACGGTGGTAGCGACTGGTTGGTTGTCACAATCCTTCCAGCACGGACAGAGTCCTAACTTTATGCATAGTGGATGTCAGCATCCCGAATGCTACCAAGCATCTTCGCGAAAAAGAGCCCGTGTTCAAGGCAAACGGCTTCTCGGCTGTTGTCATCGCCAGTCTGGCATTGTTGGAGTTCGATCACGATACCTTCAGTGCAGCAGCTGCGAAGAACTTCAATCTCGCTACTGACAAGGCCAAGTTGGCTGAGGGTGTTGGAGCAGCGGCGAATATCCACAGCGTTATCCAGGATACCATCGTATTCTACACTGTATCAACAGTAGTATAAGGAGAGACACGTAGTCAGGTTGGGCATGGCGGTGAAGTATGCGTCCGTGGGTGCCACGCACGCGCAGCTTTGTAGGAAATTGCACCCGTACCAACTACCACACGTGCCTGATTCATCGGCTTGCACCTGCACAGATCTTCCTGCATACTAAAAAGCAAACATCTCACCGATGAAGTCATTGCCTCAACCTTGTTTCCCTTGCGTACTTGCATAGTCTAGATGCCGCTAGCTCTCCCGTAGCGGCCTGATGCGATCATCGTCATCCCAACTTTAGGATCTCTGATCTTCAAACTTCCCTGCGCACATCATTTTTGTTGCACAAATAAATAGTAACAACATTACAAGGAGCGTCTACAGCCAAATCTTTTGCAATGGGTATTTGCGGCAGCAAAGAGAAGAATGACGGCCAATCGACCGAGATGGCGCGTCCATCACAGCCCGCAGCCTCAAATGCGCCGACACAACAAAACATCCCAGTGGCCGGAGAAGGTGCGACAGTGAAGGCGCGCAGGTCACCCGATAACCCGATTGTGTACTTCGATATTGCAATTGGAGGCCAGCCGATTGGGCGCATCCAGATGGAGTTGTTCCTCGATGTCGTGCCAGCCACTTCAGAGAACTTCAGGCAGTTCTGCACTGGCGAATCCAACCGTGGCGGATACAAGGGCAGCACTTTCCACAGAGTTATCCCAAACTTCATGATCCAGGGTGGTGACTTCATGAATGGAGATGGTACCGGCAGCGCGAGCATCTTTGGAGGCGATTCGTTCGACGACGAAAACTTCGAGCTCAAGCATACGCATCCTGGTCTTTTGAGCATGGCGAATTCAGGGCAAGCTACATGTCCGGCTGATCATTAAGATATCGCTAATCATCCCACAGCCCAAACACCAACGGCTCGCAATTCTTCATCCTGACCGCTTCCACACCCCATCTTGATCGCAAGCACGTCGTTTTTGGTGAAGTACTTGATGGCATGGATGTAGTAAAGCAGATTGAGGCGACAAGGACTGGGCAGGGTGACAAGCCATTGAGCGATGTCGTAATTGCTGGATCGGGACAGCTGGCTGGCGCAAAGCCTTTGGCTTAAGAAGTGAGAGACGGATGTCGGTGCAGAAGATTGGCCGATCTGCAGTATATAGGTTTCTATGCACGAAGCCGTAATAATAGTAATGTAATAGGTCCTCGAGGAGAGAGCTGCCAAAGCGGTATGTGCAAAGTCTACCCTGAATGCCCTCGTGAGTTTCCGAGACGCTGAGCGATTTGTTAAAGCTCTTTGGTAGGAGTCTAGCACCTCTAAAAGTGCACGACGCATTGTAGTCAAATGCAAGTTGTCCAGCAAGCGTAGGTACTCGCATTCATCAATGGTTCAGGAAGGATAGGATTTAGTTTCTTATTTCTATCATTAGCCTTACGTTCCAGCAAGTGCTGGTCTATTACTCACCCATTTATGCTATCGTACGAATTCATCAAATTCTTGCATCTGTATACGCAGGGCTTCTTGCTCCCAGAACTCCGCCGCTTGCTCAGCCCCTCTCCTACCACCAAACTGCACAGCGCCGTTTCCCATGTCGCCTTCGGCCCCGTCCATGAGGCGCATGAAGCAGTTCTTGTTCTTGGGGTCGTTGAAATGGGCGTATGGGTGATCTGGGTTGAGCCACGCGGAGCAAAGATAACAAAAATGCGACTTACATTGCGCGCAGGTCTAAATATAGGTGTACAAAATCAGTATGTGTTCACTTGTAGCTTGTGCAGGCACATTACTCACCATGTGATTACATCCCATGCTCTTCTGGCACGGTACAGAGCAGTACGGGCAGGGTGTGGTGTTCTTCATGATAAAGTTGAGCGATGCTTGGTCCTCCTCGGTCAGTTGTGTAGCATCGCGTGGCTCGCAGCGTACGAAATCTCCGTGCCACGACGCTAAGCAGACAACACAGAAAGCGAGTGTGCAATCTTCGCAAACCTGTAACCGATCCATACCTCGTACGCCGACTCCACGCTTCTCCGGGCCAGGCTCAGTGTTGGTTTCCTGTTGCTGAGCTGGACTCTCGTCGTCTGCTTCAGAATCCGAATCGTCCATCTGAGTTACGTCGGTAATCTTGGGATATTTGGTAGTTCGCATGGCACCTTGACACCATGTGCGTGGACAAAACACGATGCTAGGGTCAGATTCAATCTTTTTCTTCCGCTTGATCTTGGCATATCGCTCGACTTGATCGCGTGCTATAGGGATCTGTAGCAGCTCCTTGGGCGACAACAGCCGGTCCTTCTTCTTCCCACTACTACCACATTCGGTGGACATACACTTGACGTTGTTGATGTCCCCCTCGGTTATACAGTTGTTGTAGTAGTCCTGGAGACAATTGATGCAAAAGACATGGCTGCAGCGGGCCATGCGGTAGCAGGCTGACCCCTTCTTTGGCTCGAGACAGACTTCGCAGTCGAACGTGTCTTTGTCGAACAGCTCCTTCTTCATCCGGCGACTATAATCTACGAGCTCCTTCCGCATAGAGGAGGATAGCGAAAGCCCCTCCAGACCAAAGGCATTCTCGGCTTGTTCTTGTAAAGAGGTGATATAGGCGAATAGAATGCTACCTCCGCCGTACTCATCCCATAACATGTTTGCTTCTGCTGTGAGTGTAGCCTGGAGGTCCTGGCCTAGCCACGATGGCAACGTAGACAACCTCACTACGGGCGGTGTTTGTTCGGGATACTCGGCGGGTAGGATAATTTCGAGACGTAGTGGGGGTAGATACGGAAGTCGTTCGACATGTTGCTGTGGCTCGAAGGTAATAGGCAAAGGCTTGGTAGGCGCCACGAGCAGTTCAAGAGTGGCAGAGTAGGGGTCGCTATCGCTGATAACCAACTCCGGGTAGATGGACTGCAGCGTGCTGAGCTCTTCGGCGCGCTCGTCTTCCATAGTGAAATTGGTACGGTGGTGATGTCTCGGGGGATTGTGTATCGCCCGTCAAGTGGGTTGTATAAGGATGTGGCGACAGCGGAGAGAGGGCGGAGATAAGTTGAATGCGGTCGCAACAAAGTCTGAAAGGGCGTGGCGGCTGTCTTCTATCGGTAGCGCGTAAAGGCAAAGGACCCCTTGAAGAGGCCCATGGTGAGTCAGACGCTGGACTGCTATCACTCAGATTGCACAGATGCTGTCAAGAACTAGGTCGTCGCAACTGGCATTGGAACGTAGCCAATGGACCACCGAGGTATCTCGCATGCGCCACGCCAAGGCCGACAGGGTATTGCCGGGAATGCGCCGTCATAGCTACTGCATGTGCATCCTTCACTCTTGACTGCCCTGGAAGCTTCACCTCCCACGTGAAGTCGCTATGGAGGCTCCACCACTTGCGTCACTGTCGCTGACGCATGTCCATTATGTTTGTTCATTGTGCTGACAGCAAGAGCTCAGCTAATGCTCCCAGAATCCCGCAGACCGCATCTCCTACCTCTGCGCATGGCTTGCTCTCGTGCCCCAGGGACTGTGCGTCGTCTATGCGACGCTGATATGGTCCAACCGCGAGATTGAGATCTTCCTCATGTTTGCCGGCCAGATGGCGTGCGAAGCGCTCAACTGGGTTCTGAAGAGATACATCAAGGAAGAGCGGCCGCGGGGTAAGTCGACAAAAGCACACTATCCAAGCGTAGTGCTGATACTAGACAGAGATGCATGGAAAGGGCTACGGAATGCCTTCCTCACACGCCCAGTTCGTATCCTTCTTCTCCGTTACCCTAGGCCTGTTTCTCCTCTTCCGACACGTTCCCCACCCGACGGATACCCACACGCCCTTCTCACTGGGTGGCCGTTTCCTCCTTTCACTCCTAGCATTGGCTTGTGCAGGAGCTGTAGCTGCAAGCAGGATATATTTGAGCTATCATACACCAAAACAAGTCGTGGTCGGATGTGCTGCCGGAGCTATCTTCGCCCTGGCTTGGTTCGCCTTCACAACATATCTGCGGAGAGCTGGCTGGATAGAGTGGGCTCTCGAAACCTGGGTCTTGAGAACGCTGCGTGTAAGAGATCTTGTGATACAAGAAGACCTGGTAGATTCTGGCTGGGCACGTTGGGAAGATCGGAGGAAACGACAGATCTTCCAGGTTCAGGGTAAGAAAAGCAGGTAAGCCCTAAAATCTCTGTATATACTACTATGGTACCGCGCTTTCATAAGCGTGCGAATCTGTCAATACTCAAATAGACGTGCGGCACCCACAGAATCACATCGGGACGCGGACCATTCCTCAAGCCTCTTGACTTTTTTTTAGCTCCCGCGGGCCGCCGACAACCTCGTAGTGTCTTTTTGCGATTCCAGTTCCGACTGTCAAGAACTCGGCCGTCACACAAGCATGCCCCTAGTATCAATCACCAATCATCGTGTCATGACATGTAAAACCAGCCACCAACGTCAGGCGGGCGGAGGCTTCACCCGTGTGCAACGGCATATTCTTGCCCCATAGAATACTGAAACCCTATCACAACAGGTGCCTTCTTTACAAGGACACGTCTTCAGTCAGCCTTTGTTGGAGTTCTCCATTCATGAACGGCGATCCCGACACTTAGTGGTTCAGACTATATGTGGACCCTTGACGCGCATCTTCCGTCACAATCGTCATGCCTCCGTCTCCGTGTCGTTGACTAACACCAAGATCTCGTCAACCTGATTGATTGACCGCTATAGCACAACGGCGGCCGTTAGTTGCTTTTAGATCGTCGTTAGGACGCGTTCCCCAGCCACGGTGTATCCGTCCATTTAGTATGGACATTTTTTTCGTCGATATCTTCTACCATCTGTCTTACACAGCTTCCTGTCGAAATCAAGACCTTTCGCTCTCAAACCCTCTTCCTTAATCTCCAATCGACAATGCCGCGCATGTCCACCTACCGCGAGCCAAAGCCTCCACCACGCCGGCGTTCCCGAAGCCAAAACGGTAACAGTAGTCCGCTCCCACGCAATGAATCAGATTACGACGTACCCGCTCCTGAACCCAAGAAGCATCTCAGCAGTCTTGAGGGCCACATTGTAGCAGCCAGTGGAGAATTTGTCGGCACCTTCATGTTCCTCTTCTTTGCTTTTTCTGGTCAACTCATGATCACCAATCAAGCCAGCGATCGTTCGATTCTCAACGGTGGTACGAGCAGTCAGCAGAATATCTTCACAGCCTTGGTGTATGGCTTCAGTTTGTTGGTAAATGTTTGGGCTTTTTTTCGGATCAGCGGAGGACTGTTCAACCCTGCGGTACGTACTCTTTCACTCGTACATACGAGAGGAAGGTAGATGATACTGACACGTTCCAGGTAACGATTGGTATGGTGATTGCCGGTCAACTTCCCTTTATACGGTCACTCTTTCTCTTTCCTGCTCAGCTACTCGCATGCATGTGCGCCGGTGGACTCGTCGAATGCATGTTTCCAGGAGATATCGGTGTTGTCAACACTTCACTATCTGGCGGTACCTCCATCGCCCAAGGTGTCTTTATCGAGATGTTCATGACCGCCGAGCTCGTGTTCGTCGTTCTAATGCTAGCCGCCGAGAAGAGTAAATCTACATTCATTGCGCCAATCGGTATTGGCCTGGCGCTTTTTGTAGCCATGATGGGTGGTATGTCATACTTCTTACTCAAGTAGAGCAACATTTCCGGTTCAAGGAGTTAACACTGTACAGGCGTTTACTTCACGGGTGGATCACTTAACCCCGCACGCAGTTTTGGTCCTGCTGTTGCTTCACGAACGTTTGTCAGCTACCACTGGATATACTGGATTGGCCCTATACTTGGTGCACTCCTTGCTTCGGCATACTACCGCTTTGTCAAGCACTTCAATTACGAGCAGGCGAACCCTGGCCAAGATTCTGCTGGTGGTCACTTCTCTGCATAAGTGTCTTGAGACGCTTTGTGAAAGACACATGTGTCGAATCCGCAACGCAGCTTATATAGCTGGTATGTTCCATTTAGATGCCATGATTGCCAGGACATCGAAACGAAGGTTTGGAAGATCAAAACATATAGCGAGGAGTTACAGGAGTGTTTGTTGAATATTGTACAAGTCATACATATGTTTGTTATGGGCGTTTTGACTTCACGTAACACACGGTCGCGTTTAGGCTATGAGGTCGATTGACTTAACGTGGTCAAGAGAAAGAAGATATAGAGTCAAAAGCGCTGATTCATCTCGTGTAGGCTGTGTCCATACTATGTATATGAAGCTGGAAATGTCATGCGACTCCTCCTAAATATACCTTTGGTGTAAGAAGACAAACATGAAGGAAAACATTGAACATGCGCACTCCATCCCGTATGATATCGATCAATTCAAAAAGGGTTTCCCCTATCTTACTGACGGTGATGCAATTGCGTGTAACTAAAACAAGATATCATCTACTCATTACAAGGTTGATTGAGCAATGCGGCAGGAGCAAGGGGTATGTACAATGTAGCTCACTCGCCGAAAGCTTGTGGGGTTCATTCATTGAGTGATGAACGGTAAAAATTGAGGGACCGCAAAGCCAAAGCGAAGCCAAGGGGCGGACATAGGTCAGACAACAAACTCTTGCAGAGGCTGTCGACGATCAGGAAAAAGAAACGCCACAGCGTAAGCCGCAAAGGAAGTACAGGGAGGGACGGCGGTAACGAGCCCGCTCTGTATTGAAGCTTTTTGTACAAGTGCAACAATGCAGAGGCAGATCCCGGCAAACATCAGTGTAAGCAGTACATATCTGAGTGTGGTCAGCAATATGCTCACTTTGATGTTGTTCGTAGATACTTACAGCCTGTCAAGTGTCACTCGGTGAGCTTGATACCGAAGGTACATCATCGTTGCGATGGACCAAATGCCAAAAACTCTGTTAAACAGTGTCAACAAGGTCCAGCAATGGATTAGAAAACTCGGAATACATACAACCAGGAAAGGCTGGGTCGGATTGCCGCGTCATTACGCATAATGAACCACAATACACTGGTTATGCCCATCAACGGGCCGAGCATTTGACTTGCCATAGCCACCATGTATCCGACAACGACGAATGTCATTGTGCCTGTACTGACTAAGAACCCTCTCATGGGATACCCAGGAGTCAGATCAGCCATGGAAATGCCGTGAGTGTTCTGGACGGGGTATGATGCCGTTGATATCTGGTTATTCATTGCTGTGACGGGGACAACGATATTCGTAAGAACGATTAGAACCGCCAGAGAAACAAAGATCGTCTTAGGAAGCACCAAGGTCCTTGGATTATGATAAAACGTCGACTTCTCGCTAGAAGCTTTGTGAAATGTAGCGCCTATGTGCTGCTCCTTCTCTTGTGCTGGTGCAAAGAACGTACGGAAATCTGTAAACAGTGTGTTGTTGGCAGATTTCATCTCCAGGAGAGCGATTTTCGTATTGCTTAAAGTTGTCGAAGAGCCTGTGCGATGCAGTGTGTTAGAGTCTGGTGCTACTGCTGATGGTATCTAGAGTCAGGTTAGCGGGTTTTCAGGGAGTAGGTGATCGGAACTTACTTTGCAGTTCACTTCAAGTCGGGAATGTCATAGATGCCGAGTTTAGAGAAAATTTTAAGGAGAAAATCCAAGGGAATCGACTCTAAAAGATCCAGCGCTACGTTGCTATCTGAGCTTGATGAGAGAAGTATCACGGTCAGAAAAAGAGAGAAGGCAAACAATACCACGGCTGTGCTTTAGACTCAGCCATCTTTCAGTGTCTTCGTGCAGATAGTGAGGCAGAATTGGAATTACATGTCCGGCCACTATTCGCTGCAGATAGCAGAAGATGCGAGCCAAAACTACGACTGGTAGCACGATAGGAAGAGAACTGCTGCTTGATGAACACAGCCACTCTTTTCATGCAATAGCCATGTTATCGAGTCAGGCGAACAACTGAATGCTTGGTGGCTATTTGTCAGGAATAGTGAAGGACACGGCCAGCGCACACCGGTAACTAGCTTGCGCCTCAGCCTGATGCAGCTCCTCGCAACAGGGCAAACAACCCTTCACCTTGCCTGTCAGCCTTCCAGCCTCTCAGCCTTCTAGATCTTGCTCTTGTTATGAGGAGGGTATAAAAGACGACGGTTGCTATGACGGACAAGACATCATTCACCTGCAAGAGTACAATCATTGAATCTTCAAGCTCACACCATCAGCCCTCGAGCCCCAGCCCCGTGACGGTGGAGCGCCAAACCCAAGCGCAAGTCTTCCGCTGCGTCTGGCAGTCATCACTATTTGAGCGTCTTCCTTCTATTCGGCATGAGCAGACTGCATCTATGCTGCTTGCATTGTGGTGATGGCCCGCACAATTCCACACTCAGACCCACTACATGGCTACACCACTGCCTATTCTACACTGCACTCTTAACGAGCTTTCTCGTCGACACAATAGCAGCACTCGATCTTGGTCGCCACAAGTGGCCATCATGGCTCATAACATCAACGATACATCCGGAAACAAGCGCCATGTGCTTTAACCACATGGCTGCTTCAACTGTCGCATTCTTCACCGCGTCTACCGTTATCTATCGGATGAGCGTAGGCGACCAGTGCCAAGACCACTTTCTTCTCGCCGGCATAACGTCTGGCGTCGCTGTGGGCTTTCTCTTGGGCGGAGATTTACATACCGTCATATTTCAAGTCATGCCATGGACAGTCATGTCCGCATTGTTGTGTAGCTTAATATATCACAGGATAGCGAAACTCGCACCCTGTACGGCTACAGTTATGGAAGAGAAGGCTCCTTTGCTGGAATGAGAAAGCACCCACAACGCATTTGACCTCAATATGTGCTTGGTATTGTCCAGAGTGCGGATATCGAAGATATCCTTTGTTTTTTTATGGTTCCTTCGTGTTTTTGTAGCGTTATTAAGCATTACTTTCATTTGACCGTGTACTGTCCAAATATCGTGGTCAATGTTAAGATCTGAGTTTTGTCACTACAGTCCTGAAATCGTCGTTGTGAAATGACTTAGTACCCACGAAACCGAACTGCACTTCCTCTGCCGCATACGCCGTAGCATACCTCTTCCCAGACGGATGTGAAATTCAGCTGAGATGGATACACGGTCCTTTTTATAGTTTTTTTCTAGACGAAAGTTGCAGTGAATGCATCTAATGTACCTTTGATTGTTAGGCACCATTCGGAAGAGAAGAGCGTAGTTCGAACTCTTATCAGTACCAGAATCTCCACACAGACGCCAGTGGATCTCAAACATGCTGTTAGTCTAGACATTTGTCCTGGTCATAAGGATTTATATCTCTTGAGATCCTATCAAAACGTTTGAACTGTGCTTCGTAAGCCGGGTTGGTGGGTGAAGTGACGGACCATCTAGCAGCCCAACAGTGTGCTGGTGGAAGTCTGAGATGTAATGATGTGGGAGACTGAGGTAAGTCGAAGGGTTCGTTGACATCCTTGTTGATTTGACGCTCGGGGTCGACATGGAGATAGGCAGATTGAGATCCGCTCAATCTAGAGAAGACAGTACCTCGGTCCACAGACGCTGAGGAGGAAAAGGCGCTTGACTTGCACTTTGCTCATCTGGTCTTCGAGTGATCCGACATTCGCCTATCATCAGGACATCGGCGAAGAGGGGTAGCACTGTGTTCAGCCCCAGAGACGACTTCCATATCAAACCGTGGTTCCAACCGTTTCCTGTTGATGACCTCTGTAGCCTTTTCTTCTGCGTCCTTCACTTTGACGAATGAGCTTCGAAAGAGGCGATCGGCATCTTCGTTTGATGAAGCCAAGGGCGCAATCTTGCCAAGCCAGTATGCCCCACGATCACGCCAGCAGAGGACGGATCGGGCGTTGCCTTGTCCAATAACTGCAAAGTCTTGTTCACTTTCAGCGTCGCCGCTAGCATCGGGTTGTTCCCGCCATATTTCAACGCCGTCGAAGATGTCTAGATTGCGTGCATGCTGTGCTACGCGAAGCGCTTGCTCCAGGTCGGCAACTTCAAGCAGGACAACTTTGGCTTCCACATCTCTGGCAATGCCAAGCAGCCGCGGGTAAAAGGCATCGCCTTGCTCTATGTCTGTCTGCTTGAGCTTGTGGGGAGGTACTAGCGCGAGCTTCGGTTCGAAACCGCGCACCGAGCGCGTGGTCGTTTCCCAGAAGGCCGACGGCGAGATGTACGGTGGGTTTGAAATGAGAATATCCCAGAAAGACGGCATTTTGTTGAAGTTGAGGGCAGCTATTAGCGATAAGACGCCTTCAGTCTGATCTGAGAAGGGATTGACCATGATGTCGGCTTGTAGGAAGTCCCATGGTCCATTGTCTTGAAGTTGTCGCATCTTGCGTAGTCTTTGAAGGTTGTGTCTCGCAAGACGTAGGGCCTTCTCCGAGATGTCGACACCCAGAACACGTAGGTTTATGCTATTCGACGCCGAGGATATCTCGTGGTGGAAGAGGAGGGGTATACAGCCGGTGCCGGTGCAAAGGTCAAGTACGCGTATTTCCGGAGGAAGATTTTGGGCATTCCGTAGGAGACTGGTGAGATGTGTGACTGACGCGGCTGTATCTGCTCTGTTCGCTTTGTCAGGCATGAATCCCTTCGAAGTCGTAGTATGCTGTACCTTGGGATCAAGACACCAGGCCTACAGCGTATCTCCAGGTCGCCAAAGTATTCCGTGCCCAACAGATACTGTAGTGGTTTTCCAGCGGCTCTTTCTCTGACCAGCTGCCGTAGCAAAGAAGCCTTAGCTATTGTGTCTCCTTTGGCGCGACGCGCTTTCGCGACTTTCTCGACGTGTTCGCGGAGCCATCGCAGCTCGTTCTGGGCGGCCTGTAGTTCGCGACACGGCGCAAGAAGAGCAGGAAGAAGAGCGTCTATCGCGCGCGCCTTGCGGATGAGTGATGTTGTTATGCGTGGCATATTGAGGTGACATGGTGGGGTG